TGAAACCACGGAGCAACGCAGGGAGGAGTGGGCCTTGACAGAGCCAGGAGTAGGCAGGGTGAAGTTCAGGTCAAGAGGCTGTCCTGTGATTGTGCTGGGGGGCGTGGGTTAGAAGGGAAGGTTAAATAGCGGCCATTTTAGGGTAAGTCATTCTAACTTGAGCCTTTCTTACCTGTAAATTGTTGCAGGTCGGTTGGGCTCCACTTTTCTTCTTTTCCAGGTGCAGCATGGCGTCATTGGAAGAACTTCTGTCGGGTCTGCGGTCCGTGGTGAAGGAGAAGGGAATGGCGTGGCTACAGGAGCAGCTGGGGGTTCCGAGCACGTCTGCTCCCCCCCATGCGGTGCCGGATCGGAGGCCAGAGAGGAGAGCTAGGCCGCCCCAGCGGCTTAGTCCTGGAGCGGGTCCGGCAGCTAGAAGAAGGAGGAGCTCGGCGGGAAGCAGTGCGGCGGCCGGAAAGCAGGGACGTGGAGCGGGTCGTCGGCCGGGACCGCCAGCTAGGCGCAATGCCGGGGCGGTGAGGTTGCAGGCCAGGAGGAGGCCTCCCTTGAAGGGCGCCCCCTGCTGGATGGCGGCGGGCGGGCAGGCGGAGCTGACAGCTGGTGCCGGAATGGAGCAGGACGGAGGGGATTCGGCTGCAAGACCCAGGAGCAGCCCTGGACGTCCCGGTGAGTCGCCCCCTGGGGGCAGCACTGTGGGGCAGGAGGGATTGAGAGGGGCTGGCAGTGGCAGGACAGCGGTCTCACAGGTTGGAGAGAGGGACCAGGTCAGCAGGGCACAGCAGGAGGTGGCTGGAGTTGGAGGCAGGAAGGATAGCGCTGCGGATCCAAGGGATCAGAGGAGCATGGCCAGGAGCTTGGGAAGAAGGGGAGACTGGCACAGCATCAGCAAGTCTGGGGACCCAGGAGACAGGAGGAGTGGCAGTATGGAGCGGAGTGGCAGCAGGCGGGTGACTGGCCAGGAGGACGGCGGCACCCAGGACAGCAGTGGGCGGGAGGCCTTTAGGGGTCGATCCCAGGAGCGGCTCGATAGGAGGAGCGCCAGCAGAGGGAATGGCGGAGGATGGCAGCGCGGAAGGGCAGAATGGCGGGACAGCAGGTCAGGGTCTGCGGGCAGTAGGAGACATGGGAACGGGAGCCCAGCAGGGAACCGGAGCAATAGGAGGAGGTCAGCTTCTCGGGACGGGTGGCTACGGCGCCGGCGCAGTGAGTCAAGGTCGTCTGAGAGGAACCGCACGGCACGGAGGAGGAGAAGTAGCGAGCGGGAGGGACGATGCAGGCAGGGAAGTGGTGAGGACGGGTCTGATCACGGGAATGAAGGGCAGGTGAGGCTGCAGTCGGACAGATCACCCAGGCTGTATTCTCCTTGCAGGTCGTTGAGTAGGACGCCCACGAGAGCAACACACGAACAGGCGGGCAGGAGTCGGCGTCCCCTGGTTCCTTCTGGGTCAGCTGTCGTGGTGGAAAAAGTGGCGCCCCCGCGGCCAGCAGCAGCCGGGGGCTTGAGCGGTGAGTCTCCAACTGCATCACACTCGGGAAGCTTACTTGGATGTTTAAGATCTCTGTTAGATTCATGGTCTGGGGACGGGGGGTCTCCGACACAGTTTGAGAAAGTGTGGGTTGCGGACGGCGGTCGGGCAGCAGGGGTGAAGGCCGCAGCGTCAGCGGAGCCGAAAGGGGGTGAGGGCGCCGCGGGGACGGGTCAATGAGCGACGGGTGACATGGGTGAGCATGTCGTTCTCTGCGGGGAAGTAACGGATGCGGCACGGCAAAACGTGCATGTGTCTTTTGCGGGACCGCTAGGGTGCCACTTAAAGGTGGAGGTTAAGGAAAAAATTTGGAAAGGGGAGTTCGTGGAAATATTTTCCCTGCTCCCCCTGGAGGAATTTTTAGACTTGAAAGAAGAGGATAAAAAGGATGCGAAAAAGGAAGAGGAGGAAAAGAGGCGGAGGTATCGGAAAATACCCAAGTCTTTTGGGAACTGGTTGAGGGCGTTTTGTATTTTGGCGAGCGTGATCGGGGAAAAATACCCGGATCGCTGTTCGCAGCTTTTTTGTTATTTAGACGGGATAGGGGACGCATATCGGACCTATGGGGGTTTAGCATGGTGGAAATATGACGAACAATTTCGTCAGCGATTGGCAGCAAACCCGTCCATGCGGTGGGACCAGATGGACTTGCCTTTGTGGATGAGGCTGATGATGGCACAGAAAAGTGCCCCCTTTCTCGGAGCGGCCGGCACGGGCTCAGGTAACGTGTCGGCAGGTCAGAAGAAAGGTTTCTGCTGGCTCTACAATGAGGGCCAATGCAAGTGGGGTGCATCTTGCAGATTTAAGCACGAGTGCTCCGGTTGCGGGGGTAATCACGGAGTTTCCAGGTGCTTCCGAAAAGGTAAGCCGAACCTGGGAGGAGGGGTTGTCGGCACATCAACAGCTGCGGCTGCAGCTGGGAGCGTCGCCGGTGAAGGTAAGCGCGATGCTGCCTTGGTTAAAACTATACGATAATCAGGAGGTGGCAAAGTTTTTACGGCTGGGTTTTACAGAGGGTTTCAGGATTCCGTTTCAAGAAAGGGCTGCGGGTGGGTTATGTAAAAACCTTCGGTCAGTGGGGGAACATCCGAGCATAGCTCGGGAAAAGTTATGTAAGGAAGTGCAATTAGGGAGGATGGCGGGACCATTCGCTTCCCCGCCGTTGGTTGGTTTGCGGGTGTCTCCACTTGGGGTAGTCCCCAAGAAGGAAGCGGGTAAATTTCGTATGATCCATCATTTATCGTACCCACAAGGTACATCGGTTAATGATGATATCGACGAGGCCCTGTGTTCTGTTTCCTACACATCATTTGACAAGGCTGTCGAGTTGGTTAGGAGAGCGGGACAAGGGGCTCTAATGGCGAAATTGGATGTGGAGGCAGCTTTCCGGCTGCTTCCCATACACCCGGATTGTCATCACTTATTGGGGTGCTATCTCGATGGGGGGTATTTTGTGGACTTATGCTTGCCTATGGGTTGTTCCATCTCGTGTGCTTACTTCGAGAGGTTTAGCACCTTTTTGGAGTGGGTCGTACGACGGGAATCGGCTGGGGGTGCGGTGGTGCACTACCTGGACGATTTCTTATGCGTTGGCCCACCACGCACGGAGCGCTGTAGCCAGGTGTTGAGGACCTTCCAGTGGGTGGCGCACACATTTGGGGTGCCGTTAGCAGAGGACAAAACGGTGGGGCCCACTACGTGCCTCAGCTTCCTGGGTTTGGAGATCGACTCGGTACGGAGGGAGTGCAGGTTGCCCGGGGACAAATTACATGCCCTTCAGCGGCTAGTGGACACGGTTAGTAGGGCGAGGAAGGTCACCTTGCGTGAACTTCAATCGTTGATAGGGAGTCTGAATTTTGCGTGCCGAGTGATCCCCATGGGGAGGGTCTTTTGCAGACGATTGGCGGGGGCGACAAGCGGGGTGAGAAAACCGTTGCATTATATTAGGGTGTCAGTGGACATGAGAGAGGACTTGGAGGTATGGGCTAGGTTTTTGAGGGAGTTTAACGGGAAAGTGTTTTTTCGGGAGCCGTTGGGAACCTCCACGGCCGTGGGTTTGTTTACGGATGCATCAGGCAGCATCGGTTTTGGGGCGTACCTAGCGGGTAAATGGTGCGCGGAGGGGTGGCCGGAGGCATGGAAAGCGAGCCCCTTGATTAGGAATTTGGCCTTTTTGGAGTTTTTCCCGGTTGTTGTGGCAGTGGCGTTATGGGGTCCGGAGTTAGCCAATAAGAGGGTGGTGTTCAATTCGGATAACATGGCAGTGGTGCAGGCTATCAACGGATTATCGGCTTCTTCATGGCCAGTGGTACGGTTTGTTGAGGCAATTGGTTCTCTTGTGCATGTCTTTTAATATTGTGTTTCGCGCTCGGCATATACCGGGGCTTACCAATGTTGTCGCTGATGCGCTGTCTCGCCTACAGTGGGAGCGTTTTCGGGAGGCGGCGCCGGAGGCGGAAGAAGAGGGTCAAGCCTGTCCGGCGGAGATGTGGGAGCTCGGGACGTCTTGCTTGGGGAGTACATAAAGAAGTCTCTGGCGCCTGGAACTTGGTTCTCCTATGTTAAGGTCTGGCAAGTGTGGGAAGACACGATGCAGCAGGTAGGGGTGACGGGCCCTGGGAGCAATCGGCTGGACATACTGTTATGGATCCTATGCCGGTTGTTCGCAAAGCAGGCGTCGCCATCAATGGTTGATAGGTACATGTCAGCGTTGGCGTTTTTGTTTAAGTTTAATGGATGGGAGGATGTGACGAAGCATTTTATAGTGAGGCAAGCGGTTCGGGGATACAGGAAAGGTAAGAAGACGAAGGATACGAGAAG